GTGACAGTGACAGCAGATGACATGGTCCCAGCAAACAGGCACACACCCTTGCCTTCATTATTTTCACCAGAAAAAAAAAATATTCATAATGCTCAGAAGCAGTCCAAAAGAAAGGGAACCCGATATGGCAGGCATTTTATAAGGGTGTAATCCTGCATACCAGAAGAGCTACTCCCCCCTCCCTCAGGGAGCCACGCTAATGAGGCTCCTTCTGCCAGGCACAAGCTAATGTCAGGAGCTGTCAGCCTGTGCAGGTGACAGGTTTTAGTTTGATTCAAAGGAAATAAAACATGTCAACAAAAACACTGTACAGCCAGACTGCAAAGGATAGTTTTAAATCCATAGTTACAGCAGGAAATGCAGCAGTGTGGTTTAGCAGTAAGTGGAAAGCTTCTGGCTGCTGCATGCTGAGCCCTGCTGAGTACTCATACTAGGGGTAATGTTTCCACTCTGTGCAGCACCATAAACTAATGGACAAAATCAGTCATTTAAAACATGTCTGATTATCCTGATGAATGCTACGACATTGCTGAAAAATGACAACATTCACGACACAAGGCTACAGGAGCTGGAGCTGAGACAAGCAGATTAATGATTCCTGTTTGACATAGCAGTTTTAGTAGAAAATGAGCTAATTTGTATAAACTAGTGACTAACAGATGAAGTTTTGCAAGTCTTGCTAAGGAGAAAAATTCAAAATTTCAGAATTGCTCTTCTTGGGTAGTTATAATGACTGTAAAAGCATACAACATTCGTCAGCTAGTGATACAACACAGAGGTATCAGAGGTGTTTGTACCATCCAAGCATAGATACCAACATCCTGATGTGTTTGCCTTCGGTAAGCCAGGTTAGAATCCCTTGTACCCTGATCAAAACACAAAGCTTCAAGAGAGGAGAGCTCCTCAGGGTTCTGAATTGCTTTCTGGTCTTTCAGAGCAGATGTAAACCACCAAGGACCTGAATCTCTCTCTGAAGTGTCTGTTCTTCTCCATCTGCTGCAGAGAGCCTGGGGTCACTAAGGTCTTAGTGTAGGCACTGCAAAAAAGTGTCTAAGCTTCAGCTGAATTAAACCCCTTTCCTCTTTCATGGGCAGGCTTTGAGCAAACTTCTAACTTGAGGAAGCCTCAGCAGAGGAAGCCTTACAAGCCTTACTTCAACACTGAACAACAGTTCACAGAAAGCTTGAACACACTTTGGAGCTCACTCATCTTTTAGAAAGACTGCTATTGCTACTTTCAGCTGGCCAAGCTGGCTTTCCTCTCAAGTAGACACAGGTTTTCTTCCTCTGCTCACAGGGAGGCTGTTCAGGCTGCACCACTTGTCCTCCTTTCAAGCAGACAAAGATTTGTGATGGGCAGTATATACAGAATAGGAATCATGCCATCACAAGCTTTCAGTTGTCACATGAGAATCTGAAAAGATGGTAGCTCAGCACTATTCACCTTCTCATCCAAATTTAAGGCCCTTAGAGCAGTCGACAGCTGCTTTTTAGCTGTGGATACAGCACCTCTGGGCTTCAATAATCCACTGGGTCTGGACTTGGCTGTTCATCGGAGCCAATCAAGCAAGCAAGGGGTTTTGCTAGGCCCATTTGAGGATAATTTACATTGTTCAAGGGAGCACAGGGAAGAGGAGCAGGCAAGCAGGTGTGTAGCATGACAGTTTGCAGGGCAGTTGGCACGGCAGTTTGCCCGGCAGTTCGTGCAGGCACAGCGAGCAGGAAGGGCATGCCCATTCTGCCAGCTCTTGCTGGTGGGTTGTGTGATAGGTCTGCATGGGGTTTTTCTGTTTGTTTGTTTGGTGTTTTGCTTTTTGGGTTTTGTCACCCCACCCCCCCAACTCAACTAGATCCAGCAATGGTTTACAAAGGATCAAAAGCCATCACTGCAGCTGCTAGCAGCAGGAGTGTGCTGATCCAGGCAGAGCCCCCCAGGAAGGACACAGCTGTCCAGGTCACTGGCTGCAGGGAGTGTCTGAGCCTGGCATTGGTACCAGAGGACAGTGCAAAAGACACCCACGTAAGGTGCAATCAGGTGAATGATCTGCTCTGTTCAGTGGCAGAGCCTAAGGAAGAAGTGGAAAGGCTAAGGAGGATTAGGGAGAGTGAAAAGGCACAGTCTTAAGCTGGGCCAGGGAAGGTTTAGGTTAGGCATTAGGAAGATGTTCTTTACAGAGAGAGTGATTGGGCATTGGAATGGGCTGTCCAGGGAGGTGGAAGAGCCACCGTCCCAGGACATCTTTGAAAAGAGACTGGATGTGGCATTCGCATCTGATTATTAGACAAGGTGTTGTTCGGTCAAAGGTTGGACTCGATCTCAGAGATCTTTTCCAACCTAGTTGATTCTAGGTCTATAGACACGCAGAAAGGCATATAGAGCATGACATATACCAGTAAAATTAAGATGCAACAGTGTCTTTAGTGGGTTAACTTTCACACTGCTGGATCAAGAGTGGGTTTAAGCGAACACAAAGGCTTGAGGTTGGAGAATTTGGGACAGATCTATAGTACACAAGAGTTTGGTTTCAGCCCCTTAGGCTAAGACTTTCCACTGCAGCAATGATTTTGGCTTATTTGCTCTTGTTTGGTTTGTTTGTTTTTGTTTTTTCTCTCAGAAGCACTTTTTCTTGAATGTTCCCAGCAGCCCTTTAGCGCTCAGCAGGCAGAAAACCCAAAGACTACAGCTGTGCCTTCAGCTTGTTTCAAGAACTCCACTTGGTTGAAACTAAATTACAATGTTTTGTAAAATTGGAATATCCTCTCTTGGTTGCATCCCTTATAAAAACCAAAGTGACATGCCAAGAAGCCCAAAAGACTAAAACCAAACAAACACATTCTAAAATAACCCTGTCTGCTACTAAAGCAGCAGCAGCACATGCTGTTCTGTACCTTGAAGCTGCTGAGTGGCTGTAATCGTGGAAGTGCAGAGTCAAACCACCCTTTCCAAGCTCCCATATGACAGTAATAACCATCTTTCACTCCACCCTTCATCCCCAAAGAGCACATCAGGCAAGAGCCCTTTCCAGCAGGCAGAGCAGGAAGAGAGGCCAGCTAGGTAACCTCTTCAGGTTCAACATAAGGCCTACACATCTTTTTCTTCATGATGGTAGCTAGAAGCTGCTACTGCTGTCAAGATTTAGAAAGCCCTTTTCTTTTAATAACTTGAAAGTCACATTAAGAAGCTTGTCTTTAAGGCACAGGTTACTCTCAGCTCCTCAAATATGTGGTTATGCCTGATTTACAGTTGACAGTGAGAATCTTATTTTGGCTCCCCTGTTAATAGGCACCATAACAACACAAACTTATTCTACATCTCTACAGGTAGACAGAACGCACACATAGGGGGTCAGAATTCAGGTTGCACAGGTAACTGCAAAACTGGCATTTTCTAACTTTGACTTCTTGTTTTTCAATGTAAATAACAGTATTAGTGCAGGAGAGTTCTATACATAATTATATAGACTGTAATAGTAGAGTGAGGAATCAGGACCCCATTGAGCTGGCATTATTCAAACATACAAAAGATGGCCTTCTTGAAATCCACAGGAGGACTTTCAAACTCTCCCAGAACAACCACTCTTTATACATGACTCAGTGACAGAACGTGGTGGTAATGTACAGAAAGTGTTTTTATGGCTCTGAAGCTTCACTAGTCAGAAAAATCTCATATTAATCTGTTAGTCATCTTGAACAAAATTGCTTAATTTGTCAATGCTAATGATCATAGAGTCATAGAATTGTTTAGGGTGGAAAAGACCTTTAAGATCATCCAGTTCAACCATTAACCCAGTGCTGCCAAGCCCACCACTAAACCATGTGCCTAAGCTCCACATCTACACATCTTTTAAAGCCCTCCAGGGATGGTGACTCAACCTCTTCCCTTTATCAGCCTTTTGAGATTTGTACCCACTAACTTTAGGCTTGTTCATAATATTGCTGAGAAAAAGACAACTATGATGGCACTATGGAAACACAGTGATGTGTCATAACCATAATTGCTCTGAAGTCACACAACTTCTATCAGAGATGACAGGAGAACAAGCCTGTTAGAGGCTGCCAAACAATTGTTTTCAGGAAGTAACTTCCTCAAACCGTAGCCAGTGAAGGGATTGGAAGGCAAGATGTGAACTAGCTGACGAAAATTGCCATTCTAAAATAACAGTGGCTTTATGTTTAGACCTTGTTATACAAGTCAATGCAACTGGAATCAGTGTAATGTGAAGACATGTCACCCAGTGATACCACATGGTCATTCCTGGGCAACAGTGAGCCTGGCATGACATATTTTAGCAGTGGATAATGCATCTGTGCTATTGCTTTCTCCTAAAAAGAAATTAGGGTAGCAGCTCTATGTAGCAGAAGAGTTTAAGTGTGCTTGTTTTATGACTCTTTGCATTTATAATGAAAAAAATTGTTGTAAGTACTGGAGATTTAGATAGAGCTGAGCACAGTTGGAAGGAAGAAGGAAAAAAAAGAAAAAAGGTGTCCACGGCACTAGGATTATTTAAAATCACCAGATCTGGAACTTTAATCTGTTTGTATCTCAGTTCCCTACCCAGAGTACTCATTAAATACACAAGCTTTTTCAACACCGATAACAAAGAGCATGTAAGTAAATAGGCAGAGATAGATTGGCAAAGGACAGATGGACAGGGCCTTAATGTTCAGCAAATATGACCAAGTTCTTTGATGTCCATAAAACACTAAGCTGTAGCTCTGGATATAAACCCAGAATAATTCTACTGAGGTTTTAGATATGGAAAGGTTTAGCACATATTGGAAACATACTTAAATTCTCATGTTTTGTTAAGAAAAAAAGCTAAGGTTAAACAGAACAAAATTCATATTGACATTAGGGGTTGGCAGTCCAAAGGGCAGAATCAGGTCTGTGGTTCCAGGGCATGCCAGTGCCACCTGATAGGGCTGATCACTCATCAGGTCAGTCTATGTCCTGTGAAAGTGATTTTAACTACACAAGGAATATCGGACTCATTTTAGTACCTGCTCCGTGAAATCCTCCACAAAGGTACAGCTTCCCTTCCACACAGCCTGCACTGGTAGAGTTTGTTCGTAAGGAGAGAAGGGGAGAAGGCATAGGAGGTCCATCCCTCCAAAAGTCTCCATCAGGGTTATAAATCTCCACTGCATCAAGACATTTCCGAGTCTGTCCTCTGTCATAGCCAAGGCACCCAATTCCTCCTGCAAAAGATATGTAGGTCAAATGTAGCAGTCCCACGTTCTTCTGAAAAATACATTGCTGGCTGCATTTTCTGTTTACATGTTCTCATCTCCCTCTCTTTCCCTTTTGCAGCTCCAGAAGTTTGTGAGGAAGTAAATTCAAAGCAGAAGCTACTGCACATTATCTACGGACACCAAAGCAAGATCCTTTCTGAAGTCTTGTATCCAAATAAGGATAAGCAGCATGTCTTCAAAACACAAAGGTATTTTGTTTTATTTTCTCCCTATATAGTAGAAATTGTCGTAATTACTTATTCTGTTTGCTGGACAAATTGTAATGAATCAAAAGCTTTTTTTCAAATACTGTTGGTGGATTTGACCCTCACACATCATTTGCATTTGTTGGTTAGTTTTCTTCAATAAAAGAAAAGTGTTACACCTATTTCTTAAGGGAAATCAACTTCCAGAAACAAACCCATCCTAAGCACAGGAATACCAACCAAGTTATTTGCAACAATATTACTGTTGAAGGTTAATTAGGGTGCTTGAAGATGGTGTGCAGGATTAAATCAGATCCCAGTTTTCTTTAGCTGGGACATACTGCAACAGGCTGCAGATATACCTGAGATCTCAGTACATGCTGGAAACACTAAAAATCAGTGGAAACACTAAAAATCAGTGGAAACACTAAAAATCAGTGGAAACACTAAAAATCAGTGGAAACGCTGCCTTCCCAAATCCCTTCAAGTGATCAAATCCAGATTTTGAATTCACAGCCTTTGGTTCTCCAGAATTAATATGCTGACGTACCCACGCAGGTTTTCCATCTGTGCCAATGGACACAATACCCGTAATGAGCACTGATGGCATGCTGAAGAGGTTCTTTTGTGCATGTGTGTGTATGTGACCACTTTTAAATATAAAATGACTGCAATACACAAGCAATTTCCACATGAGGGCTGGCATCCCAGATACACGTGTAGGACTGCTCAGTTGGGGAAATCCAAAGTGCATTGTATGGCGTGTAATTATTCCCTTGCATATGCAAAAGGAAATGACTGGAAGTGCAAGCTGTGCAAGGTTGGTGCAGCTGCTTTTAAAATATATTGCCCCTAGAATGCTGTTAAGCTGGTCTGTCAGAGAAAAGAGCCCCTAGTGGTGCTCCAAGTTTTATTTGAGTATGGTTTTCCCTCTACTCTTAAAACCGTGTTATTTTTTATAACCTTTTTGCATTCTCCAAAGGTGTTTGCAAGAGGGAACTACATATAAATGGGGATCACAATGCTCCAAACACTGTATTTCTGATCTGTGTTTTAGAGTCAGATAAAGATAAAATCAGTTAAACCTCCATCAGAGCAGCAAAAGTAGAACCAAATTCAGTGTTCATTATCATCTGGAGGAAGCTTTCCTGTGGCTGAAGTTAGCAATATTTGATTTTGTTCAGTATTTGATTTTGAAAACCTTAACTGAGTTGGGTTTTCAGCTCCTTTTCCATGCACATAAAATCTTTACTTGCCTCAATGCCTACCAGCAAAGTCCCAGTAGTTTGTAGTAGGTACTCCTTAGTGTTTGCTTGAACAAGGCTGGCATCCATATGCATTTGGTTTTAGCTTAACACCCTCAGCTAAGCAGTATTTGCTCTGATGGGCTGCTCCTCTGAGGAGGATTGATTCACCCAAGAGACATGAGGTAGGGATTAATTGTGGTCATGGAATTTTGCTAATAATTTCCATGGCAAAAAGGGAAGCATCACCCCACTGAGCCTTTCTCATGATGGAGTCTCACTGAGCTGCTCCTTAGTTCTATTTAGAAACAATTTTCAGACTTCAGGTGTTTACTTATTGTATTGTTCTCTATGACAAAAGCATTATCCTCTTCTGTGTAGTATTTTCCACCACTCCTTAATGGCTTATAAGAGAGGTGCCACTCTTAGGATAGAACACTATTCTCCTAAATGTTTCAAGGAAACTTTTAAGAGCTAATCAAAACGTTTAATTGATAAGTCTATTTAATTGATTGCTTATCTCATAAGCTTTCTGATTCTACAGCATCCATTGGTATAATCACAGAGTACAGCATGCAAGACAATTTGCTAACAGGGCATGTACAGTCTACAGAGTGCAGTGTAATGCAGAGAGGGATTCTCAAGGCAGTTTTAACAGTAAACTAATAGTATAAAAGCTCCCCACAGGCTAATTTGACCCCTTCAAAAGACAGTTTTGTGGTGCCAAAACCAGATTGCTGCTGGTTATCAAGCTGGGTTTTTTAAAATTAGCCCAGGTGTTACTTTACCCCACTGAAGAATATGCACTCACCCACAAGAAAAGTCTTCATTTGAAAAATGAAAGAGCTTCTTGTTCAATCAGAGGGATGAATGGTACCAGTTAGGGAATGCATGCAGCGTGTCAAAAAACAATAGCTTTGCTGATTGCCTCAATATTTCAGCAGGGAGGGGGAGGTGAACAAAAGGGTCCAGAACTCTTCTAGGAGGACAATAGCTGCTTATTTCTTCCTGTGATTTTATTGTAATTTTCTAAATAGAGTAACTGTAGGGCAAGATAACTTCAGAAAGAACACAATCAGGTACAAAACTGATACAGCAGTCAGTGGCTTTTTGAAAGAAAAAATCCCAACCACTACCTGTTAATGAAGACCTTCAGCTGCTATTCCAGGGGATCCATCAACAAACGTTTTTTGTATATAGCTATTAGGAAAGTAATTTTCCAGGACCTATTAAAGCATCTTTTAAAAAATTTCAGAGCTACCGTGTTTTCAAGCATTTATGAAACCTTGATTGGGTAGTTTAAGCAACTTATATTTAACCTCCTTTAATCCTGTCATTATCAGCAACAGTCCTGAATATACAAAATATCTCCCTTTTATTTAAACCCTGCACCGCTATTTCAGTTAAATCAAATTTTATATTCAATTCACAAGGGCAAAGCTAAACAAAAAAAAAAGGGAAGAAGGAAAAATCAGAGCAGAGTAAAGTTTAATTTTCAAGCTTAGAAAAAGAGCATTCTGAAAAAACAAAGAAATCAAGAACTTCAACCTCCTCTCCTAAAGCAATTCTAACATTAAAATATTGTTGACAAAGGAATCTGAGGATGTTAGGCTCTATGAGCTCTGCTTTGCTCTGTTCCCAGAAGCCCTAGCTGAGAAATAGTCCTATGAGACAATATATTTTTTCCTCTAAGGAGATGGATGTCTCAGGACTCTTTCCAAAGAAATTAATACACAAATCAGAAAAAAAAAAAAACAACTAAAATTTAAAATAATTCACATCTACAACCAACTGGAGGAATCTCACTTTTACCAGGTTATTTATCATCTACAATGTAGAATTTAAATTGGCAGAAGAAAATAGGCTTTCTGTGTCAGACAACTCAGGCCACTTTCTGATCCATCACTGAAGACTCCAGATCACCCTGTCCCACAGGCTTCTTCATTTAGATTTAGGAAACTATTAGGAGTGCATATGGAGACATAGGGAATTACAGTTAAGACCATTAAGATTGTCTTTATCTCAAGATCTCTGGGTAAAGCAGTAGAACAACTGAGCTCATACTCTACTCCTACAGGAACCTCTGCATAAAATGGGGTTAAGCTTTAGGAAGCTAAGGCAGGGTGCAGAAAGAGGGCAGAGGTGCTTTGGTCATTTGAGGGAGACTCTTGTGCCAAGTGGCCTGTCAGCAGTGCATGGTGTACTTGCAGTTGTACCTTAAACCACCCAGAGCTATAGATGGGGTCAGTAAAACACACCTGCTGTGGTCACAGCCTCCTGGGAGTCCCAGCAGGTGTGCCGAGGGCAGCAATAGCTAATTCCATGCCCATGGGCTGGAATTTATGCTGGGGAGGATCCTTCATTAACCCACATTCACAAACAGAGCAGGTGAATTCAACCCCCCCTAGCTTAGTTCCCTGCATAAATCACAATTACATGCCCTTTGTGCTGGGGAGATGGATTTCACACTGGGAGTTTTGAACATTTTTGTCATTTTCACATTGATCACACAAGAGGATTTAATCCCAGAACTCAGACTTCTCCTCCTGTCCTTCCAAATGCACCCTTTCAACACGTTAGGCTTTTTACATTATGCACTTTCCCTAGGAGATATTTCAGATTCCACTGAAGGACTGGAAAAGCCAGTGAAGCCACCTTTGTGTTCCCAAACCCATTAACGCTTGAGAGCTTTCTACAGCACACTTGGATGAGTCTGCAATCAAACATACTTTCAAGGGCACTCTGTAAGCAGTGGTTCTAATGGACTTTAAATTTAACATGAAGCTCCATTAGTAAAATAAATATATAAATAAAATACATGATCTTTATTAAGAAATCAGGACTGAGAAGACAAGTCTTTGATGCAGGAAGGCAAGGCGGGGTAGGTGATGTGATTAGCACATCTTCAGAATCTCAATGAGGCACAGTTCTGTGCTGTGCTCTACCTACACACTGCTCGTAGCTGGCTGAAGGCAAATCACACAGCTTTGGCTCAGGTCAGCTGCCTCCTTGGCCTCATGTTCATCTGAGAAGACCAAATGCAATTTGAGCCACATCAGCTCTAATAACAGCACATCCTTCCAGCACTTAAAGGGAAACGTCTATAAATGATGGTGAAGTGGTAAAAGAGTCACTGGTAATTAGTTCAGCAGGTGCAAAGGCAATATTTCTATAATGCCTAACATGCAGTTGAGTTACAACATATAGGGAACATTCCTACCTACATGCACCCAGTGACTTCCCCCATGTCACTGATTCTTGTAAAAGCAGGCACTGGCACAGAGCAATTGCACTTCTATGTCTCATCCACACCAAGCTCTTTTGCAATTCAATTTCCCAGGCAGCTGAGTCCAACAAGGACAGTTTTCTTTCCTACAGAAAAACCACAGAGCTCCAAGTCTAGATTGCTCATTGCATAGACAGGATGGCTGACTAAAAGGACACCTACAATGTGGCTTGAGGTCCAGATAGAACTGAAAACAGCTCTCCATTGAGACAGGGCAGCAGATTTCATACC